GATGCCTGCCACAGCTTGGCTTGTCAAGCGGTGCCATGTCCGCTCCTGGGATCTGAACCGGCGAACCCTGGGCCCCCAAAGCGGAACGTGCACCCTTAACCACTGCACCACCGTGCCGGCCCAGGAGAAGGCCTTTTTACATTGATATAATTAGGAGTTCTGTTAGCTTCTTTCACTTGTATTTTCAGCTCCTTCCCCAGGTTTGGGAAGTTCTTAGCTATTATTTGTTTCAACATGCTTTCTGCTCCATTCTCCTTCTCTTCTCCCTCTGGAATACCTGTAATCTTTATGTTGTATTGCCTAATTGAGTTGGATATTTCTTGGAAAATTTCTTCATTTCTTTTAGTCTTACTTCTCGCTCCTCCTCCATCTGAAGCTTTTCTGAATTTCTGTCCTCCGGACTGCTAATTCTCTCCTCCATAATATCAGCTTTGTTATTCAGGGAGTCCAGATTTTTCTTTATCTCATTCATTGTGTTTTTCCCCTCCACCATTTCTGTTTGGTTTTTCTTTATAGTTTCAATCTGTTTTGTGAGGAATTCCCTCTGTTCTTTAATTTTATTGCTGATTGCATTGAACTATCTGTATTTTCTTGTAATTCATTGAGTGTTTTTATGATAGCTACTTTGAATTCTCTGTCATGTAAATTATAAATTTCTTTGCCTTCAGGATTGATTTCTGGCTGCTTGTCATCTTCCTTCTTGTCTGGAGTACTAATATATTTCTTCATACTGTTTGATGGCATGGATTTGTGTCTCCACATAGTGATAGTATCAGGTCTCAGCTTCCACCTGCTGCCACTGGGTGGGGGTCAAGAGCTGTGTATTCTGAGCCCCCCCCAATGCCCACCTTGCTCGCTCATAGCTGCTCTTTTTCTAATGTATGCCTGAGTGCCCTGTCCCACTGGCTGAGCCGGAGCTCAAGGCAGAGGAAGGGGCGCTTTCTTTTCCGGCACGATCCCAGGGGTGTTCTTGCTCTACCCTTGCTGTCTGCTCCCCTGGGTTGCTGGCTTTATGAGGACACCCCAGAGTAGCTTGGCCATCTCTGTGGGGGGCTTTCCCAAGGGCTGTGAGGGACCTTGGAGATTGAAGGTGTTCTCGTAAAGATCTCCCCCTTCCCCCTCACCTCTCAGAGCCGCGCACACTCCCATGCGCTGGGTCGCTGCCCTTGGGGGAGAGAGAGGAGATCCCCTTACCTCCTTCTACTTCCTCTGGGTGCTCCAGCACCTCCACCTTCAGGCATCTGGCTGCATGGGTTTCTCAGATGTCTTTTATGTTGTGTGAATGTCCTCTGTTGGTTTTTTTAGTGTCCTTTTCATTGTGTCTTAGTGGGTAGAGTAAGCGAAGAGCTCACCTTGCGGTGATGCTGACATCAGTCTCCGCATTACTTTGTCATAAGCTTCCATTCTAGTTTTTGGATGAAGCTTCAAAAAACGACTCATGGCGTACTCCTTCTTTTCTGTTGTCTGCAGTGGTTTGTGTAAGATGTCATTTCTTCCTCAAATGTTTGCTAACGTTTACTGACAAAACTTTCCCTTCATGGAATGGTTTTTGAAACGTTCGCTTTCTTTACTGTATATAGCAGCATTCAGATTTTCTGTTTCTTCTTGTATCAGTTTTGGCAGGTTGTATTTTCATGGATTTTCTAAGAGTCTTTCTAAATTTTCTAATGTTTTGGCATTAAGTTTTTCATAATAAATTTTCGTCTTATTTTTGGCACAGTTTTTTTTCCCCACATACTATGCAGTTCACCCATTTAAAATGTAAAATGCAGTGCTTTTTTGGTATGTTCACAGAGTTGTGGAATCACAATCAAATTTGGAACATTTTTGTTACCTCAAAAAGAAACCCCATGCTCACTAGCAGTCACTCCCGTTCTCCCTTCCCTTCTACCCTAGGCAGCCACCAGTCTACTTTCTGACTTTGTAGATTTGCCTGTTCTGAACATGTCGTGTAAATGGAATTCTGTAATATGTGGCATTTTGTCATTGACTTCTTTCACTTAACAGTGTTTTCAGGATTCACACATGTATCAGTATTTCATTGTTTTCATTGCCAAATAATGTTCTGTTGTACGGATATATCATGTTTTATTTATCCGTGTATTAGCTGACGGACATTTGGGTTGTTTCCACTTTTTCCCTATTATGCCTAATGCTGCTGCAACTTTTGTCTGCAGGTTTTTGTATGGATGCATGTTTTCATTCCTTTTGATGATACACTTGCAAGTAGAATTGCTTGGTCATATGGTAACTCTGTGTTTAACATTTTCAGAAAGTACCAGATGGTTTTGCAAAGTGGCAGCATTATTCTACATTCCTACCAGCAGTGAATGAGGGTTCCACTTTCTCCAAATCCTGGCCAACACTTGTTATTGTCTGTCTTTTTTATTCTAACCATCTTGCTAGATGTGGAATGGTATCTAATTTTGGTATTTGATTTGCATTTCCCTAACAACTAATGATATTGGGCATATTTTCATCTGCTTATTGACAGTTTGTGCATCTCAGAGAAATGTCAATTCAGATCCTTTGCCCCCCCCGCCCCCGCTCTTTTTGTTGGTGAGGAAGATTGGCCCTGAGCTAACGTCTGTTGCCAATCTTCCTCTTTTTGCCTGAGGAAGATTGACCCTGAGCTAACATCTATGCCCGTCTTCCCCTGTTTTGTATATGGGACGCCACCACAGCACAGCTTGATGAATGGTGTGTGTGTCCTTGCCTGGTATCCAAACCTGCGAATCCCAGGCCGCCAAAGTAGAGTGTGCAAACGTAACCACTACACCGCAGGGCTGGCCCTCCTTTGCCCACTTTTTGATTGGGTTATTTTTGTATTATTGGGTTCTTTATATATTCTACATACCGGTTCTTGTCAGACATGTGATTTGCAGTATTTTCCCTCATTCTGTGGTTTGTCTTTTTATTTTCTTAATGGGGTTGTTTGAAGCACAAAAGTCTTTAATTTTGATAAAGTTCAATTTTTCTGTTTTCCTTTTGTTGTTTGTACCTTTGGTGTCATATCTTAAGAAACTATTGCCTTCCCCAGGTTACAAAGATTTACTCCTATGTTTTCTTCTAAGAGTTTATGGTTTTGCCTCTTATGTGTTAAATGTATGATCCCTTTGGATTGATTCTGTTAATGGTGTGAGGTCAAGGTTGTGTCAGGGGTCCCCAGGACCACCTCAGGCTAGATTTATCAGAAGGATTCACAGGACTAAGTAGCAGTTCTGTTCAAGATTATGACTTATTGCAGCAAAAGGACACAGATTAAAATCAGCAAAAGGAAAAGGGGCATGGGTGACATCCAGGAGAAACCAGGTGTCCCCTACTGGTGGAAGTGCCCAGGATGTGCTTAATTCTCCCAGCAATGATGAGTGACAACAGATGCAGTTTTTCCAACCAGGGAAGCTCATCCAAGCCTTGGTGGCCAGGGTTTTTATTGGGGTCAGGCATGCAGCAACCACAGGACTGACCTCAGCTTCTCAGACTCCAGAACCCCAGAGCAAAAGCAGGGTTCACCATAAACCACATTGTTAGCATCAACTGTCTGTCAAACTGCTGCTCCACTGGCCCAAAGCCACAGACACGCATACGCTCTTTTCAGGCAGAATCTTCTTGTGGCTGAGAGCTCGGTCCTAGGAGCTAGCCAAGGGCCAGACCTGAAGACAGGCCTTTCTCAGGAATGTGCAGGGTTTAATCATCCCAGGCCTGCTGGGTTAACCCTTTTCTGCACAGTACGCCATCTTCATGCTTTGGCGTGTGGATATCCAGCTGTCCCAATACTATTTGTTGAAAAGATCATATTTCCCCGTTGGATTGTTTTCACACCCTTGGTGAAAATCAGTTGACTGTAAATGTGAGGGTTTGTTTCTGGATTCCTACTTCTCTTCCCTATGCCAGTATACTCTCATAATCTCCCAATAGATGTCAACTTTGTGGTAATGCCCCCTTTCTATTCTTAATGCTGGTAATTCATGACTTGTCTGTTTTTCTCTTGATCAGTCTTGCTTGGTATTTGTCAACTTATTTATTTTTAAAACAGCTTTTTCTCAGTTCATCACCTCTATTATATGCTTGTTTTCTGTTTCATTAATTTTTGCTTTTAGATATTTATTTCCCTCTACTTTGGGGGGATTTATTTTGTTTTTGTTTTTATAAATTCATGGTGAATATGCGATCAGTATTATCTTCAGGCTCTTTTGTCTTCTAATATGTGCATCTAAAGCTCAAAATTTACCTTTCAGCTCATCTTTTCGTACATCCCGTAAGCTTGAATATGTAGTATTTTGATTTTCATTCAGATTGGCGTGATTTTGAATTTAGTTCAATTAGAATTTGAATTAGAGAATTTACTTTTTTAAATAGAAGTTTTCCCTTTTTTCTTCATTAGAAAAGCAACACAGATTCATTAAACAAATCCCTAAAGTAAAGAAACAGAAAACGTGGATGTGCAATGAGGACAGTACAGTGTCCATGCCGCCATCATAGAGGTGAAGTTTAAGCAGTTTATGCATTTTCTTTCAGGCCTTTTTATGCATATTAATTCAGTGTGCCATTATTGTTTAATAGATGGGATTTCGACTGCAAACTCTTATAACTTCTTTTCTCTTTTCCAGATAGTAACATATTTGCTTTCCTAAAACTTCTTTCTTCTCCTTTGAAGTCCTTCATGGAGGTGTGCCCTTAGGGATGTGGGAGGATTGTGAGTCAGTTACAAACACTCCTCTTAGCTCATGCCTGCAGATCCATCCCTGCCTTCAAGGTGCTCATGGTCTGACGGAATCAGACGCAGGTGTGGGGATGGCTGATGACACAGAGCTGTTCTTGGGAAGATGGTTACAGGACAGCAGCTGCAGAGCAGGAATGCAAGAAGCCAAGAGAAGCGCCATGCAGAGGGAGAGGCAGCCTCCCGGGAGTGTGCCAGCTGATGGAGCTCAGCACTGCCTGAGAAGGAGCCGTTTCCTATCACCCTCCAGCACACTGAAAGTCTTGTGTGCCCCCTGCAGGTTATCGCCATGATCAAAGGCTTGCAGGTGCTGATGGGCAGGATGGAGAGCGTGTTCAACCATGCCATCCGGCACACTGTCTACGCCGCGCTGCAGGACTTCTCCCAGGTCACCCTCAGGGAGCCCCTCAGGCAGGCCATCAAGAAGAAGAATGTCATCCAGAGGTCAGCCTCACTGCATGCACCTCCCTGCATTCAATGTCTAAAACTGTAGGATCAGCTTAGGTTTCAACAGCTATAGAGTTGCATTTTCATAAATATGCTCAGTACATTTCTCTTCCACTTCCCGATGCCCTTGTGGTGAATTTCCTCTAAATGTATTGCAGGGGCTCCAGTTATTAACCTGAACAACCTACAGTAGATGAAGTACAGAGTGTCTGAGCTATCTGGAGATCCAGGGGCAAGGGCGTGTTTATCTCAGGCCAGGAGTGTCTCAAAATCTGTCCAAAGAGTCTGATCACCAAGCCTGTAGGGACACGCAGCCGGCCTCCCACCTCCCATCTCAGTGTGTTGTCTTCAGTGTTTTTACTTCTGTTACTTTTGGCCTATAAGTTGGTCGAAAAGCTACACAGATATGGCAGACATCCTGTAGCATCCTTGAGCTAGTTTTCCCTCAATATTTAGACTTTCAGATAAAGTTGTCTCTCAGAGACATCTCTGTAAACTGGAGCTCACAAAGTCCCACAGTGCACTGGTTTCATTTTGTGATTGTATAGTTAATATATTTGTTACCAGTGTGGTGTGATTGTTAGCATTAATAGAGTTTTACACTGTGAGACTTAGCAGTGTGTGTTCGCTCCAGCTGGCTGGAGGGCTGGGTGGAGGTTTTCATGTTTTCCATTATGCCCTCTGTTTTGCTCATGCTCGCCATAATGGGAGGCTCACTATGTGGGCAATGTGCAGTGTGGTCCAAAGGTAGCTTAGGTTTTAGCTAGAACTTTCCCCACGAGGTGATCAGGATGAGCGTGTGGGTTCATCTGCTCCTAGTGTGCTGTCCAGGGCCTCTCTGCATGGTGGAGTGTGTGGGGGATGGGACACATTCCACGTGAGTCGAGGACACAGGCCCAGTCCCTGCAGTTATGTTGGTGACTTCATGTTCCTGTTAGAAAAGGGGGATCAGCCACAGGGAAGTCGAGTTTCAGCTCTCTGGGTGGATGTGTGTGGTCTGTCTTGCTGCCCTTAGCATGACTCAGTGTTCAGGAAAGAAAACATCACTTCTGGTAATTGATGTAAACTGCAACTACATCAGATCTTTTGGAGCTAGTAATGTCCCCAAGAAAATTATCTATTTTTAAAAATTTGCCTTGAACTGGTCCATTACCGTGTCCCCCGACTACCCCCAGGGGACTTCATGTGTGAGAGTTGGCTATCCCAAGAGCTGTTTGCTAGGCAAGGAGATGCTGTGATTGTCAATGTCCCGAGGGTGCCAGTGCTCCGCGCCTTGCTAATGACTTGATGGGGCTGTTTAGCGTCCTGCAGGCTATCAGGAAGACTGTGTGTGACTGGGAGACAGGGCACGAGCCCTTCAACGACCCAGCCCTGCGGGGCGAGAAGGACCCCAAGAGCGGCTTCGACATCAAAGTGCCCCGGCGAGCTGTGGGACCCTCCAGCACACAGGTTCTTGTCCCCCCTGCTGCCCTGCTCCACCTGTTCCCCTGGGTGCGTTGCCCCTGAGCTGGGGGACAGTAAGCAAGGCCAGGAGCGAAATGACACCACAGCTGTCTGCTGAGCAGATCAAGTGTTGACTGTGTCTTTTCTGCTCCTCTGCCCCTGCTGAAGCGAATCCGGAGCATTAGCATCCTCGTGACTCTCAGATTTGCCCATCTGCGTGCTGAACTTAATGTGACTACATTAACTCCTGTCCCAAAAATGTGGTTGAAAGTCTGTGTGTCTGTATTTATGCTGTGTTTCCTGATGGGCGTTTAAATGTAGGGTTATAATTTTTATGCTGGGCCTAAAACTGATCATTCCTAAAGACAAAACTTTTGGAAATATAACAACATAACTTTCATGTGTCCCTGGCCTTAAGCCACCACCGCTCTTCTCTCTCCTGGCACATTCAGCCACCCAAGCAGCTTTCCTTGACTCTCCAACCTGATTTAATATTCCCTGTGCTTCCCTCCTCCCCTTTTGGGACTTGGCACTTCTTATTCATCACCTCTCTGTTGAGGGCTTTTATAGTCTCTTTTGCCAGTGTATGAGAGAATTACCAGCAAAGCACGTTGCTGGCTCTATAGGAAACCTCTCAGGTATGTGGGAGGAAGGCATTTGGCCCACTCGAGAAGCATGGGTTCTGGGTCTCTCCAGCGCGCATGCACCCTCCCTGCCCTTCGTCCCCACATGCCTCTTCCCACCCCATGATGTGTGTGTTGTGAACTAACCGTTCTCTCCACCTCTCCCCTGTCTGTCCATGTCTAGCTCTACTTGGTGCGCACCATGGCTGAGTCCTTGAGCTCTGCCGAGCTGCTGAGGCAGCTCAAGTCTCTGGGCATGGAAAGGCTCTTGCATGTAGTAAACGCGTTTCTGAGGCAGTCCTACACCTATCCGCCTCTTTTAACCTTTGGTGGTAAGACTTCCTTTGTTTTCTTGTTGATGTTTACAGCACAGAGGTGAACTTCTCTGCTACCAGTTCTTTCTCCCAAGCATCAGCAACTTGGCCACTTGGATGGGCACCCAGACCCCCTTTGAGGAGCCGGCTAGCAGCGGGCTGCCCACTCCAGCCCGCTCTGGTCAGAGCATGGCAGAGCAGTCCTTCTCTCGTGGTTTACCTGAGTTTGGCGTAACTAATGTGTATTTTCTCCCCTACAAATGTCTCCTTGGATGATGCAGCTTTATATGGTGAGAACCATGCTAGAGTCCCTCATTGCAGACAAAAGTGGTTCCAAGAAAACCCTGAGAAGTAGCCTTGAGGGGCCCACCATATTGGACATAGAAAAATTTCATCGAGAGTCATTCTTCTACACTCACTTGATAAATTTCAGTGGTAAGAGATACTGCTGACCAGCGTCCAGCCTAGCATGTTCTAACACTGCTAACACTGTCTAGAATGCTTCCACCTGCCTGACCGTCCCCTGCTGTGGTCCCCTCACGCACCCAGATGGCAACACGTCCTAATCTTCATGCCATTCCCTCGCCTATCGCTTTAAATGCACAGCTGGCCAGAAACTTCCCTCCATGTGATATGGCCCTTAGGAGGGTGAGGGCTGTGGGGCCATGGGGCCGTGGCTGGCCCTGTGACCTGAATACCAAGTTTTTGTAACCCGCTCGGAGTCAGAAGCACACGCGAATGTAATCTGTCACCTGGCTCGAGACCAAGACAGTGATAAATGTCAGAAACAGCCCCCAGGGGCAGTGATGTATGGAAGGTGGTAGGTGACCTGACACAGGCAGCC